CCCGGCCACCCAGCGGGGCCGCCCTAATCACGCATAATCTTGACCAATTAAAGTCAAGAGCTCGACGCAGCCGGCCCGACCCGGCCCCAGTCTGGACCGAGCGCCACTGCTGGCGACACCTGGCGACACGCGCCGGAACCACCGCGCCGCTGCTGCCTTCAGGCCGCCGTTTTAGGCCCCTCGGCGGCCCCCTCGGCGGCCCCCTCGGCGCGGGATGTTCCCACCACCGCGATGATGCGCGAGAGAGATAGCGACAGCGGAAGCAAAACGGTCATTAATAAATATGGTAATTCGGAAGCACCGCCACATAACAAGTGTCCGGGCGGCGGGGATCAAAGGGAGGAGGAAGGCTGAGAGGAGAGAGGCTCGGGATGACGACAGGGCCGGGCGGTGGGGCGGAACGGTGGCAGTCAAATTTAGGACGATCTAAATAAATATTTGCGCGCGAGATGGAGGGCGAGAGAGAGAGAGAGAGAGAGAGAGAGAGCGACTGAGAAATGGTGAGAGTAGCGAGAGAGCGATCGGCATCGCCATGTATCGTCAAAGCTCGGTTTACCGCGCGACACGATCCGAGCAACTCGGCACGACAACTCGTCACGACTCGGACACTCACGGGGACACGTCGTTGGCTCCGGGAGGCAAATAAACAAAAAAGAACAACAAAATGGCGGTCGCCGGTGGGACTTTACAAGAGCGTCGATTCTGCGACCGAACAGCGAGGAGGCCCGGCGCCGACTGACGCGAGGAGGGCGGTGTGATCGTCTTGAGAGCGCGCGGGGCGGGGCGGGGCGCACGGCGGGACAGGGGCGTAGCGCGCGGCGGGGGAGGGAGGGAGACAGAGAGAGGAGGGGCGGGCGTGAGGGCGCAAGCGACGCGAGCGAACGGGCGTTAGAGGAAGGAGAGAGAGAGGGAGAGAGAGAGAGAGCGAAGGGAAGGGGAGTGCACAGCACTGTGCGAGAAGGCACTGTGCGAAGGCAGGCGGGGCAGGGCGTTGCCGAGAGGGCAGGCCGAGCCCGAGCAGAGTCGAGGCGAGCCGAGCACACTATCGCCGGCGCGACGCATCGGTCGCGACGCCGCCGTCGCGACTCTCTGCAGGACCCCCAAACGTGCTCCGCGCGCGCGCCCGCGTGCCGTACCGCGGCCGCGATAGTGCAGCGCGGAGCGCCGCTGCGCCTCCTGCCAGTCATCAAAAACTGAGATGTAATTACAATACAATCGAGAATAACAAATATAATAGTGAATAAAATATAAAGATCACGCGCAGCATCAACCCCACCGCTTAACGGTCTGCACCACGCCGCACCGTGTCGCGCTCCCCTCCTGATCTGCATTGTGTGTGCATGATGTCATCACACCGCACGCACACCACCTGTGCGTATTTGCACATGCACACGACCCTTTTCAACCCTTAGCCCCCGGGCTCACGCCACCGCCTTTGTTGAATATTCGCGCGGAAGTGACGCTCGAATCGCGCCGCGCGATTATAATAAAAAGCGTCGAGAGCGGTGTATAATCGTCGCGGTGGCGCGGTCGCGTGCCAAAACCGCTCAACATGTCATTTGCATCGACAACACGACCCCTTTAGGGGAAGCCGCTATTGATCCCACACTACCTGCCTCGGGGGCCAAAGGGTTAACTACCTGCTGGCCCTGGGAAAGGGGGAACGGGACATAGATAGGTGGATAAATGGATGGATGGATGGATGGATGGATGGATGGATACATGGATGGATGGATGGATGGATGGATGGATGGATGGATGGATACATGGATGGATGGATGGATGGGATGGTTGGAACAGGGCCCGAGTTGAGGTCGGAGTCCGAGGTGCAAAGTGAAGGGCCCCATAGGAAGAAGCCGGGAAGAACTACCCCCGCGTCGCGCACGGGAGAGGGGAGGAGAGGCAGCGAGCCTGAACCAGAGAGAGAGAGGAGAGAGAGGAGAGAGAGGG